CCTTGAAATCACCCAGGTGAGAGATAGCAGTAGCCAGGTGTATCAGATACTTTCCGTTGTTCCTCATCTGTTTCCCGCTTTCAGCTACTTGGTCTGTATCAGCCACTGCTCTGACCAGCTTTCCATGGATTACAATGAATCACACAGGCACAGCAAAAAATTCATCCAGAATATATACAGAATCCATACAAAAAAAAAAAAAGACAATAAGATTTCAAGATGGACAAAGTGTTTGAAAAGTCATTAAGTAAAAGAGGAAATCCAAATGTCCAATAAACTTACATAAAGGTGCTCAACTTCATTAGTTATTTTGGAAATTCTCGTTAAAACCAAAATGCGATGCTCCTCCATACCCATCAAAATGGCTACAATGGAAAGAGTGGAAGCGGTTTGAAGCTACAAAAACTTTCATACACCACTAACAGAAGGATAAACTCACACAATCACTTTGGAAAATTGTTTGGCTGTATCCACCAAAAACACATGTATGCCTTATGATTCAGCAATTCTGCTCCTGGGTGTACACCAACAGTAACACATGGATATGTTCACCAAGAGGAATGTTCACTGTGACACTATTTGTAATAGTCCCAAATTGGAAGCTTGACAAAAGCCCATGAAGAGTAGAATAGATAAATAAAATATGTTAGCATCATATAATCGAATGTCACACAGCAATGAAAGTGAACATTATACACAGCAGTATGGAGAAACTCACAAACATAATGTTGACCAAAAGAAACTATCAATAGAAGCCATTCATTCCAGCACTACAAAGTTTTAAAATATCTTTAAAAATTAATGAATGTTATTAGAAATGAGGACAGTGGGTCTTCTGGGTTGGGGAGAAGTAGGGAGTGCCTGAAAAAGGGTCTAAGTGGGGCTTCTGGGGTGTTGGTAATGCTTTGTTTCTTGATCTAAATGCTGAGTACCTGGTTGTATTAGTCCATTTTCACACTGCTGATAAAGACATACCTGAGACTGGGTAATTTACAAAAGAAAGAGACTTAATGGACTCGTTCTTTAGGAGCACTTTAGGAGGCTGGGGAGGCCTCACAATCATGGTGGAAGGTGAACAACACATCTCACATGGTGGCAGACAAGAGAAGAGAGCTTGTGCAGGGAAACTCCCCTTTTGAAAGCAATCAGATCTTGTGAGATTTATTCACTATCAAGAGAAAAGCATGGGAAAGACCTGCCCCTGTGATTCAATTATCTCTCACTGCATCCCTCCTACAACACATGGAAATTCAAGATGGGATTAAAATTTTTTAAAATCAATAAAATGCTAATGTGACTTATACTGATTAGTGTGGTTGCATTTGGCTACTCTTTGTGATAAACTTACTTAAGTAACCCAAATGAACAATAGCTCCTGGCATTCTTGCTCATATGTAGCCCCCTCCTACACTGTCTCCAGACTTGGCCATGTGACCAGCTTCAACAAATGGTTCAGTAAGTTTTCGCATGCTGAGTTTGTTTTCTTGGAACGCCTCTTCTTGGAACCTGGCCACCAGGCTGTGAGGAAGCCCAAGCAGCCATCTGGAGATGCCCATGTAAAGTTCCCTCCTCTTACGTGCGGATAAGCATGCCAACTTTGGGAACTGTAGAGGTGATTAAGTGAGTTAGTATACACAAGTGGACACACAGTGAAAGGCAGGCTCTAGCTGCTTACCTTGACCAAAAAGATTTCCTTCCATTTCTACAAACTCGTACGTTGCCTTCTTCCACACTGCTCAAAGTTCGCCTTTTCTAGGAAGCTATTTGGCACTTCCTAGTCCTCCTCTATCCATCAGCACAGCCTGCACAATTCAGCACAGGAGTATTTGGTTGTGCTCTGGAGCTGGATACTTTAACAGTGAGTCATTGCACTGTATGGCACTGAGAGGCAGTTTTGCCCTTCATCTCATCTGGGCTTCATCACAATGCTATGTGAATTGGGCAGAGTAGATACTATCACATCCATCTCAAAGATGAGAGAACTGATGCGTGGAGGGCTGCCGTTCTCTGGCTGGCCCTGTGAGAGGAGTGGTGGGATCCAAAGGTGGGCCTTACCCTTCTCTGGTTGCCTTGAACCCCAGGGAAGGATCTGGTGCTTCTTTTCCTTGGTATCTCCTCTCAGGCATCTGCTCTTCCTGGACCCACCAAGACACTCCAGTGTTCTCGCCAATGTTGAACCCAGGACTTTGCTCAATAAAGCTTCTCGATTATGATACTAATAATGCAGCACTGAAACTGAGAGATAGGACGCTCTGCTGAGAATCAGAGGGATGGGTTTTCTCCACATTCACTGAAGAAGGTGCTTCATCATCCACAGAGGTGTCAGTCCTTAAGCACAGCCTGAATGCCACCTGCTGTTGCTGCTTCCGCTGGCTGCCGCTTACTGACCACTGGTTCCATGGGCTCTGTGGTACACAGATGGAGGCATCCTTTCTCCACTGGGGCTTCTCACTGTGACCAGGACTAAGACAGGGAAATAACCAAAGGATAGTGGGATCAGAGCTGTCGACGGCACACACACGGTGCCATGCAAATCCACAGACGAGGAGAAGCTGGGCAAACTATGTGATGATGTTCATCTTCATTTTGCCCCCCAAGAACCCCCAGGAGAAGGAAGTAAGGATAAACCTAGCAAGATCTGTAGATGCTCTCCAAGACATGTTTATTTCACCTACTTTTCCATTCCCATTGAAGTGGTCCAGGCCCAAGGCCTGTAACCCCCAGCCAGAGTGTGGTGCCCTCCCCAGCCTGGCTGCTTCCTTCAGCCCTGCACCTCCCCTGCACTGGCACATGGTTGCCAGGCTGGCCTCCAGCACAGTCTACACTTCCCACAGCCTCCTCCACAGGCCGTCATGGCTCCTGCAGCCTTTAGCAGCATTTCCCTACTTTTTTCTCACTGCAAAGCTATCTTTGGCCCCAAAGTGTCTTGGCCACCGTGACCTCACAGGGAACAGAGGCAGCTGACACAGATTTGTCTCCTTGATCAGGCTTTAGCCTAAGTATGACGTAGTCAGGAAAACCCTCTCTGGGCTGGTGGCCTGGGGCCACATTGGTACCGCACTATCTTCTTTCAAACTATGGGTGCTCACATGAGGGAACATTCCAGGCATTTGCTTCCTGTGTTAAACAGGACCCTCTACAAAGGCAATGGTGGTGTCCGTTCTGTTCACAATGACAGGCTGCACTGAGCAGAGGATGGGGCCTGTGGCTGGTGTTTCCTAGGTGGCAGCTGGATGGCTACTGGTTCCAGAACCATCCTCTGCATTTGGAGGTCTCTGTCCAGGAAATTCAGGCTCCGCTACATCAGGTTTTATGCTAGAAGCAAAAGGAGATTCAAACGGGTTTGAAATGACAGGTTGGTGACTTACAGGTTGGTAGAGGAGACAGACTTTATTAACAAGGGCTTCAAGCCTGGGCTCCTCTGTGCCCCTGCAGAACACGAGGCCATCTGTCGTGCCGGGGTGCCTCTCTACCACCATTGCCCTGTGGAGCAACTCCTTTGCTGGCATTTTCTGTGACTACTCTGAGTAAGTCTGTTGAAGCTAGTATTTGTTGAACACTCATCTGAGTCAGGCACTGTACAGGCAGTTTCATACCTGATCCATACAAGAGCTCCAAGTCAGAGGAAAGAAGGCGAGAGTTGGAGATGTGAAGTCACTTGTCTAACTAATGTCCAGCAGGGAGAAAATGGGAGAGGCTGCAATGGAGAGAGGTCTGCGCGATGCTGTAACCAAATATGCTCAGTTACAGAGAACAGAGTCATGCTTGCCAGTTTAGAAAGGGATTTACCTCGGCCGGGCGCAGTGGCTCATGCCTATAATCCCAGCACTTTGGGAGGCCGAGGCGGGTGGATCACAAGGTCAGGAGATCGAGACCATCCTGGCTAACACAGTGAAACCCCATCTCTACTAAAAAATGCAAAAAAATTAGCCGGGCATGGTGGCGGGCGCCTGTAGTCCCAGCTACTCGGGAGGCTGAGGCAGGAGAATGGTGTGAATCCAGGAGGCGGAGCTTGCAGTGAGCCGAGATTATGCCACTGCACTCCAGCCTGGGTGACAGAGCAAGAATCCATCTCAAAATAAATAAACAAACAAACAAATAAATAAATAAAAGAAAGAAAGGGATTTATCTCTGTTACTAAATTGATAACAGAATCACCGAGGAGCTGAAGAATGATCCTAGGTGAGCTTCCAGGACCAACTATGATGCCACAAACGTAGGCTGTTAAGGAAGCTGCCTGTCAAGCAGGGCCCCAAGATGTCACTGCTGCCTCCAGAATGCTGCCCTCCACCCACTGAACCCAGTTCTGAATGCAGGTCTTGAACAGTGCTTCTAATTGGCAGGAGATCAGCTGCAACCAGAATCTTGGCTCTGAGAATATCTGGGAAATAGTGGTTTTAGCTCTCTAGCCTCTGTAGAGCAAAAAGGCATATCCAATAGAGTGGGAGAAAAGAAACCTTGGAGAGGGTAAGTCAGAGGTAGTCCCAAATATCAGTCCAGCGTTAAATTGTGATTTCGTGTGTGTGTGTGTGTGTGTGTGTGTGTATCTGGTGTGGTATAAGTTTGGTTGGGGTGGAGGTGATCGTATGTGTGCATTCTCTCTACCCTCCTTCCATGCATATGCATCCAGGAGAGATGGGTCCACCTTCTCTGCTTCTGGCACATGCCCCCATGTTTCATCTTATCTAACGGTCTTTGTGTCTTGCCAAACTTCTGACTGTGGGGGCCACTGCTAAATGCCTATCCCTAAGGCATTCTCTACTTCCGTACTTCAAACACCCAATATACACTCTTCCCTTTTTCCTTGTCGACAGAAGCCCAGTGTATCTCAGAATGTGTTCAGGACCTCTTGCAGCTCAGGATAGACTTACAAGATGGTTCTGGCCAAGAAGATTTAAGTAGAAGTTTAAAAGGTGAAGCTTCTAGAAAAGCTATTGTTTTCCTAATGAAAAGGGACCATTAGCTTGCATTTCCTTTTGATTTTTGTCCTTTCCTATTAGGTCTTACTTCCTGGAAATGAAACATGTTGCCTAGAGGTGGAGCACCCATTCAGTGAGCCTGTGAGGAAGGCCATTTACCAAGAACAGGAGAAAGCTAGAAGGAGCCCATATCTCTGACTGCCCTCGCCAGCCCACACAAGAACTCACGCTGGAAAAAGAAAGCCCTGTTTCGGTAAGCTCATGTGTGTTTAATTTTCTGTTTTTCTGATACACACGAACCCCAGAGAGTCTTCTCTGAACTCAATCTTTGTATACTCAGTTCCATGGCCTAATGGAATTTTAGGGTCAAAAGAGGGTTTAGAGATTACTTAGCTACAGTCATATACTGCCTTATAGATTATTAGCACTCAATGTATGTGTGTCTAGTCTACATGGTTAGTATTAAATTCTCTGAGGATGGAAACTATATGTACATTTAAATGTTTGTGTTGAAAATGTTTTTCAAAACCTTGCTAAGTAAATGAATTCACAGAACCTTTCGCAATGTTTCTGGAGAAACATTTTTTTTGAAAGTGCATGGATTCTATGAAAAATTTGGGGAGGATAGAAAGAAAAAGAAAAATCCTATGCAAAGGTTAAATTTTGAAACTCTTGTTAAAATAAAATCCTTAGCCAAATTAAATTTAACAGAGTTTATTTTATTTTATTTTTGAGACAGAGTTTCGCTCTTGTTGCCCAGGCTGGAGTGCAGTGGCCCTCATGATCTCGGTTCACTGCAACCTCTGCATCCCGAGTTCAAGGATTCTCCTGCCCCAGCCTCCCAAGTAGCTGGGATTACAAGCATGCACCACCACGTCTGGCTAATACTTTGTATTTTTAGTAGAGATGGGGTTTTGCCATGTGAGCCAGGCTGGTCTCCAACTCCTGGCCTCAAGTGTTCCTCCCACCTCAGCCTCCCAAAGTGCTGGGGTTACAGGCACAAGCCACAGCGCCCGGCCTAAATTTAACAGAGTTTAATTGAGCAAAGAATGATTCATGAATCAGGTAGCCTCCCCAGCCAGAGTAGGCTCAGAGAGTCCAGCATAGCTACGTGGTGGAAGATGATTTATAGACAGAACAAAGGAAAGTGATGTACAGAAAATGGAAGTGAAGTACAGAAGCAGCCGGATTGGCTCAGCATTTGTCTTATTTGAACACAGTCCGAACAGCTGACCACCATAGATTGGCCAAAACTCAGTGATTGGCACAAGGGTAGGTTATAGTCTGTTTGCACTTCCATTTAGGTTGTAGTTCACGATGTACAGAGAAACCTTAGGGCAATCTTAAAATATTGGCTGGTGACATTACTTTTAATGGCAAAAACTACAACTACTTTTGCACTAACTTTTGCACCAATACGTAAGGAGGCAGTTTTAGGCTAAAATCAATTTAACAGATTTATTCTGAAAACTTGCTTTGTCTGTTGCTGCATAAAAAACAACCTCGAGGCTGGACGTGGTGGCTCACGCCTGTAATCCCAGTACTTGAGGAGGCTGAGGCGGGCAGATCACCTGAGGCCAGGAGTTCAAGACCAGTCTGACCAACATGGAGAAACTCCGTCTCTACTAAAAAATACAAAGTTAACCAGGTGTGGTGGCGCATGCCTGTAATCCTAGCTACTTGAACCGGGGGTGCTGAGGTTGTGGTGAGCCGAGATCACGCCATTGCACTCCAGCCTGGGTAACGAGAGCGAAACTCCATCTCAAAAACAAAACAAAACAAAAATCAACCTCGAAATGTAGTGGATTCAAACAACCGTGATTTTATTTGTTCTTGATTTTCTGGGGCTAGAATTTGGGATGATGTTTCTTCTGCTTCACGCAGGTTGGCTGGGATTACTTACTCGGCTGCATTCAGCTGCTGCCTGGGCTGGGCTGGGAGGCCAAGAAGGCTTCACTCACAAGCCTGCCCATGGGTGCTCCTGCTTCTGCCAACTTCTATTGGTCAAAAAAGGTTGCAGGACCTGCTTAAATTCAAGGGAAGGGGAAATAGGCTCTTCTTAAGGAGAAATAGCAAGGCTGTAATACAAAAGAACATGTATGATGGCAGAGAGTGCTGTCACTATCTCTGGAGACAAATCTACCACTCTAACTTTCACTTCTTTACAAGCCGAGATTACCCTGCAAATTGGAATTTTTATATGTGAGGAAAAATTAATATTTATAGGATCCCTACCATATGCTGAGTGCTGTGCTAACTACTTTCACGTAGAATTTCTTCTTTGCTGTGACCTATATTTTCTGTAGACCTAATCTCTGGGTTCATTTGAACCATCTGCTGATGGAAAGGCAGTAGCTCACAGCTGGTCCATCCATAAAGGAGGGTGCATGACAATTCCGACAGGTGGAACCTCTCCAGCTTCCTTCCATACTCAAGAACAACCCTAAACATGTTCTCTTTGTCCCTCAGGATCACAGGATACCAACTTGCATTCCTAAAAGAGCTCATATCACACTGTTGTTCATTTGGCCTCTCGGGGGATAGAAGCTTATCTTTTTAGAGATTCTTTTATTATCGAAAAGAAATCATTTCTATGATTCTGGGTATCCAACTAAAACTTGTACAAACAGAAGATATTGGATGGGCAGCTCCCTGGCAACCCCCTCCTATTCAATTGTGAAACACCCTCCTCCAGTTATTCAGAAACTACAAACTAAGGCAGTAGCCCCGTTGATGTCTGTACAAGAACTGATGACAGGCACACCCAGAGGCTTACAGGGTGTTTGTGCTGAACATCAGCCCTGAGGGACCTTCCTGTTTTATCCCTTTTGAAACTCTTGACTGTGATTCAAAAGTAAAGAATAAAACAATAATCTGCCTGTGTACCACAGAGCAATTCTACTGCAGTAAAAACGGCAGATGCAGGAATATTTCATCCACCAGAAATTAACCTGCAGTCAGAGGAAAGCTGTGACATCAGCAGAGTTGGTGTCTCTGGAGTCAAAAGGGAAAGTTCTGGGACCTTCTAGCAGGGAGGTCGTGGAAAACGCAGGAGCGGCCCCAGATTGCTAATAGGGGCAATTTGCTAACATTTTCAACACCTTTTAAATGTTGTAGACACTTTAGGAGTAGTGTAGGGATTTCAAACGTTTATTAGGCAAATGAGGAAAGAGAGGCCCAAGTGGGTGAGGCGACTTGACCAGGGTCATTGGGCTGGGGTGTGGCACAGCAGCTTCTGGACCCCGTTTCCTCATCTCCAGCCCAGCCCCCTTTCCAAATACACCCTTCCTCCAACCCCGACCTTTCTGCCCAACTCATCTTTACCAAGTGACCCTGAAGTGGTGAAGAGGAATCCACTTGGTCAGAGCATGGAGAACAAGGAGGAGCAGAAGGGAAGGGACAAGGTCAGGGGTTTCTGAAGGGTCTTTAGGCAGCCTCAAGCTGGAAGGTGTGTGTGGTGGGCAGGGGAGGTCTCTCTAACACCTCCTGCCTCTCCAGATAGCACTAGAGGAGGGAAGGAGTCATTCTTGGCCAAATCGAGGGAGGCCTGCAGCAGCCAGGCCTTCAGGGATGCAGCCGTGTCTAGTGGTTGTAATCTGGTCTCATATCAAACTCACACAGAAAGACAGAAAAGGCTCCTTGACTGTGAGGTCTTGGTGAGGACACACTTGTGTGAACTTGAGCAAACCAGGGAAGAGGAAGTCAGTAGAAAACGTGCCTGGAAGACAAAGAGAAGAGAATAGAAGCCAGTCCTTAGTCACAATTATTGTAAAAGATCATTGTTCATCTGAAATCACCTCCCTCTTAAATGCAGGTTGGGGCATTTATGAGTGAATTTGCACGTGTGAATATTGCAAAAATAGACAGCTGAGGGCAGAATTCCCACTGGCCTTGTCTTTGGGACTGTGTGTTAGCAGAAGACAAAAGAAACAAAAGAGAGCCACCATTGGTTTGTAACTCAAAGGATAAAGGCTAGCGGGGATGGATACCTCATTCTCCATGATGTGCTTGTTTCACACTGCATGCCTGTATCAGAACATTCACATACCCCACCCCACAAATATATACACGTACTATGTACCCACAAAAATTAAAAACTAAAAATAAAATGGAGAACAACAACAAAACCCCAAAGAGAGCTACTTCCTCTGCATTAGAAATACATAGGAAACTTAGTGTCGAGAGAGTGAGGAGAGGGACAGCGGAGGAGGAAAGAACGGGAAGGGGATCCCGAGACACACACTCAAGCTTTGGGGTTAGCTGAAGGGCTTTTTAACTAAAGGAAGATCCGACATTAACATGCCAGGAATGCTGACACAGACCCCCTTCTGGCTCCTAAATATTCAGTAGGATCTGTGCTGCCCCCACCAGCCTCGAGGATTTTTTTTAGTGGGTAGGGAGGTGGGGTGGACAGAAAGGAAACAGGCAGAGTCTCACTCTGGCTAAACTTGGTGAGAGGGAGAGAGGGTCTGATGGACCGTAAGATGCTTCTTCAACTGGATTGATTCAATGGACGCAGGGCTTGGCTTGGGAGCTCCTAGGAATGACCCATCATTTGGGGAGCTCACTGGTTGGGGAAGGAAGGTCAAGTCAATGTCATCTCCATCCTAAGAGCCAAAGAGCCCCAAATGATATATTGTTCTGTAGACTGATATGGTTCAGTTAGTAATGATAGTTCTAGAACTTTCTACCCAAATTTTGGTGGTCCTGAGGTCCAGGGCAGTGCTTACAGAGACCTTAGCCTGGACAAGTCTTGGCTGGATAGACACTCCTTGCACCAAGAGGCAGGAATTCTATGTTAATTCTGTTCTAAACAGCCTTGTGCCTGGAGTGCCTTTGTAACCACCCAGCAGGTTCTTCCTGCCTGCTGTACAAAGAAAATCTACTCACCGAGATTGATATGGCTCCCATGAGTGGAGGAACACCAGGGTTCTTCATCTCAGGTTGAATTAGATAAAACGACACGGACACACGTGGAGTGGTTTTAAGGAGCAGAGAGTTTAATAGGCACGAATGAAGGAAGAAGCTCCCCCATACAGAGACAGAGGGAGGGGGGCTCCAAAGCCAAGAGAGGAAGCCCTATGTGCCGCGGTAATGTGTCTACTTATGTGAGGAGGCTGGAGGAGGTGGTGCCTGATTTGCATAGGGCTCAGGGGATTGGTTTGACCAGGCATGTCACTCACACAGCCCGCGAAAAAACTGGTCCTCCTGCTCTAGCCTTTTAATGTGCAAATACAGGGTGCCATGATGTTC